CGCACGCACGCACGCACGCACACACACACAACCAGTTCCTTTCAGCGACATCACAGAATGAATCCAGCGGAACGGAGCTTTCCAGAAGCATCAGATGACACACAAGCATGTGCTCTCTGTCTGTGAATGGCACTTTCCACAAATAGGGCACAAAATAGGGTCTGAAACTCTTAAAAAATGGACGACATTTTTTTGTACATTGTTACAGTGTTGCAGATTCAGGCTAATTATTGTATTTAGCATTGCTGAATCAACCTAGATACATCAATTTATACCAACAACAAAACACATTTTTATGGGTTAAATCAGGTTGAAAAAGTGTTATTACGGTAAGTTGAGCTTATACAGTCAACATTACATTTAGAATTTTTTTTTTTTTTAAGATTTTTTTAAATTAAAAAGAAATGTTATTACATAACAGAGTGTTATTAACAACTAATTACATGAAAATACAAAACTATATTATTGGATATAAACATGTTATGACATTTTAATTGTTCAGAAAGTCATAACCTCTGAAATGCAACAGCCTAAAATCCTCATAATTAAAGTGAAATCCAGATTTTTAAATGAGCTACTTTTCATTCTAAGGTTAATTTATGTTACGTAACAGGCAGCATATCTAATGGAAACATGTGATTTGTGCCTGTAATGCTCTTAATGGGATGCATTTATGAAAAGAGCCTAACGAACTGAAAAAGTCCAAAAACTCTTGTTTTTCTCCTCCCGTCTCTCTCCCTCCCTCTCAACCTTCTCTTTGTGGCTTGTGTTTCTCAGGATGTTTTTAGAAGTTCTTCTGCGAGTGTCTTGTGACAGGGAGAGAGAACTTCTCCATTACAGCATTTCCTGAGGCGCACACACACACAAATACGCTGCTTTGATATGTCAGGGTCTTGCTCACATTTGCATGGACCTGTAGTTTTGTTTTTGCATGCTCGCACGAGCCTGAGGTGAACTGAGCATGCATGCATATATGCCCTCGCCTATGATAATTAATTAACTGATAAGGCAGCACATGACGAGCATATGACAAGACAACTATTGTGCATATATGAGGAGCAGACTATCAGACAGAAATATCATCTGTGCATCCAGAATCCAGTTGGCTTTTCGCTCAATGGCAGGCACACGCGTGTGAAGCGAGTCAAAGCAAACTGGGTCACGGCATCATGGCGGACTGCCACCATCAGCACTGCATCTAAATCCTCTTCCACTGCGCTTACAAATCCCTTTCAAAGAGCAAATTAAAAGCCAACTTGGTGTTAATGCTACACTGATACCAATGAACTTGCATTTCCAATGCACCAATGACATTTCCATAAAACTCAAATGTAATATGCAAATGTTGATATGAGTGGCCTGATGCCACCGCACCGTGATTAAGTGTCTGAAGTCTCTCTCTCTCTGCGTTTTATTTGAATGAAGACATGCAATCATGTTCTTTATTAAAGTCTGCAATGCTTTCGCACTCTCTGCTCTTTGGATTTGTGATGTATTAAACATTCATGAATGTACAGTCGATATGGGGATGAGTATTTTGCGGTAGGTTTATAGTCTCTAGAGAGTCGTGCAGTTTAATCGTGTTTATATAAAATCACGAGGTCAAGTTAACGTGGCGGAAAAATTCAATACACAGACAATATAGATAGATAGATAGATAGATAGATAGACATCTCTTTTGTTGTCATATTTTGCACGTCGACTTTACTGCCCCCTGTGGACAGATGCAGTACTGCACGACATTTCACTCTCCTTCCGAAAGTAAACCACTGCAATTAAAATTAGTTTGGATATTCTTGGCATACTATAATTATTTATTTTAAAGATCGGTACGGTAGCTATACTTAACGTTTCGTCGACGGGGATTGTGTGTGTGTGTGAGAGAGACAGAGAGAGAGAGAGAGAGAGAGGATGAGGATGTGGGAGTGTGTGTGTGTGAGAGAGAGAGTGTGTGCGAGCGTGCGAGTGTGTGTGTGTGAGGCTGCAGATTCAGAGAGCGAGTGACTGTGAGAGAGAGAGAGTGTGCGTGCGCGCGAGCGTGAGCGAGAGCGTGTGTGTGTGTGAGGCTGCAGATTCAGAGAGCGAGTGACTGTGAGAGAGAGAGAGTGTGCGTGCGCGCGAGCGTGAGCGAGAGCGTGTGTGTGTGTGAGGCTGCAGATTCAGAGAGCGAGTGACTGTGAGAGAGAGAGAGTGTGCGTGCGCGCGAGCGTGAGCGAGAGCGTGTGTGTGTGTGAGGCTGCAGATTCAGAGAGCGTGTGACTGAGAGAGAGAGAGAGAGAGAGAAAGAGGAAAAGGCGTTTCCATTCTCAAACCGGCGAGACGCTCAGAAACGCGCGAGCACCATCCAGAGAACGGACGCGTAAAGTTTCCACGACGTCTTCGTTCATAATAACCCCAACTTCTGCGTAGATATTCACGCTCTTTGACGCTGAAGTTTTGACCGAACTGTGTTTGTGCTGAACTGGACTTTGCATTTGGGTAGCCACCGCGGATCTCATCCATCACCACCGGGAACATCATCATCATCATCTTCATCATCGCCGGATCACCGGGCGCGCGGAGTAAGTCACACACCTATCCCTGAAAACTGTGCTTCATAGAAGTAGAATGTTTGGACCTTGGAGCACCACTATCATTCATACAGTGTTTCTATCTAATACCCCGTTCGATTGCACTCCCACAGTAATATCTATCTATCTATCTATCTATCTATCTATCTGTGTTCAGTTATTCTTAAAGCGGTAGATCGCCGTGGATTCACGCTGATCCGGTTTGGCTGATTGTTCGGCGGAATGTGCGCCTTATTAAAATAATCATTTAATTATAGTTGTGTCTCAACTACGCCGGAACAGAATCTGAACGGCTCTCCTATTTTTATTTTTTTTGCGCCATAGAACCATGTTTCAATTATTTTCAGCGGCTGTAGAATAATGACTGGTGGAGTCCCGATTCCTGATTTTTAACTAACAATTTAATTTGTAGTTCAGTATTTTTCCTGCATTATTTGTGTTCTAGTTTAACCTAGGACTTGCATAATGCAGGCTAAATGATGTTAATGCATGGAATTCCTCTACACTGTCTGCTTTCGCCACCAACCCTTTTTTATTTTCACCAACAAAATCTGGTAGCCATCGAACATTCTGGGTTGATTATCTAAAGGAGCTCAGTGAAACTGCTGTGGAAGCAGTCTGGATGAACTCATAATGCAACCTCACGACACAAACCCTCTTCCTGTTGGACTGTAGTGCTTCCCTTTTCCTCTCACAGCTGCTTTTCATCTCGCCTGAACCAAGCAAAACCAGATCCGAGCGTGGAATGAGCAGATGCAGAATCTGGCAGTCACACAGGTGTGTGTGTGTGTGTGTGTGCACCTGGTGAATGGTTTCTGCTCTCCTATCTCAGATATTGATTTGTGTTTTTCCTGTGGTAAGGGAAGGACGCAGCTCAGCAGAAACACACCTCCCTCATTGTCCTTGTGTGTAGAGAGTGTTTCAGGCTGGCATTGTTTGCTGGCCAAGAATGGTGCTGGAAACTTTGTTTAACAGAAACTTTAGATCATTGACAAGCCAAAACCCCTGACGGACATCTCTTTCCCCCCAAAAGACTCATCGGATTACAAGCAAAACATTAAAAAGGCAGATCATCTAAAGCAGGTTGGTTGTGATTCAAAAAATGAGTTGCATGTCTGTTCTGAAAAAACAAAACAAAAAAACAAATGCAAATAGTACAATCCAACTAGCCATGCAATCTTAAGATTGCAGGATCCTTATCAAGATTTAAAAGGCAAAATGCCTTCTGC